GACTAGAGATATACAGGGTGTCCCCCCAAAATGTATACACACTTTGAATACCTACTAATTCCAATGGTTTTAAGCATAAGAAAGGAACAACAATGGGGCTGTTATCTGTTAAAAGTGTGGGCACAAACAGGTAGTTGGACATTCCCTGAGGAGTCTCAGATTGGAGAGGGTGAAGGCCAGACTGAGGGGCCCCTTCTCCCCCCCTACCCCAGTGCACGAATTTCGTGCACCGGGCTACTAGTATCATGTATAAAATAGAAAATGTACTGCAGGTCTAAAATGTAAAACAGAGCATTTGAAAACTTCTAGAAGAATACACTGAAGAAAATTTTTGTGACATTGGTTTACACAAAGCTTTATTAGATATAGCACTATAAAAAATTAATAAGTTGGACTTCATCAAAGTTGAGGGCATTTGCTCTTTGAAAGACCCTATTTGGAAAATGAAATAAACCAAAAACTGGGAGAAAATATGTATAAATCATATATCTGACAGAATACATAAGCCAAGCATATATATAGATATCTCTTGCAATGAAAAAATAAGAAATCAAACAATCCAATAAAAATATGAAAAAGATCTAAATAGCCACTTCAGCTTATAAGATATATAAATGGCAAATAAGCATATAAAAGGGTGCATTCAAGACACGTTAATTAAAACTCACTGAGGTACCAGTATACACCTATAAGGATGTCTAAAATTAAAGAACTGACCATGTCAATTATAATGACTATGTGGAAGAACCGGAACTCTGATACACAACCAGAGTGAATGTACAATATTACAACCACTTTACAAAGCAGTTTTCCAGTTACTTAAAAAGTTAAACATACAACTATCATATGACCTTGCCATTTAACTCCTAGGTTTTACCCAAGAGAAATAAAAGCATATGTTATGTAAAAATAAATATCCATAAACAGAATGTTAAAAATAAGAAAATAAGAGAGCTTAAATTTTAAGGATATGTGCAATATTTGGAAGATAAAGTAAAGGAATATTTATAGAAGGGTGGGGAGGGGTGACAGAAAAGATAATCAGAGGATCAATTTCAGAGGTCCAACATCCAACAAGTACGTTTCAAAAAAAGAACAGAGAGGAAAACAATGATTAAAGATATAACACAAACAGTATTTTCCATTTTTTATGCACATATGATTTTTATGCATGTATCATTAATGAAAAAACAAACAACCGACACCAACCATAACATCATGAAAATTACAGAACATCAGGGCTGTGAGAAAATCCTAAAGACTTTATTAGATGGCAAAGCAAAGCAACCAGGTAACATAAGTAAATGCCTTTAAAATTCTAAGTAAAAATTATTTTCAAACTGTCATTATAGAAACAACTGAGAGAAAAGAATAAAGATATTTTCAGGCATGTTAGCCATCAATTTTTCCCTCTTATGTGCCTGTGCTACTCAGGAAGCTCTACCAAACTTACGGGGTGTACCAAGAAAAGGAAAACTGAACAGAACAAAACTTCCTTAACATGGTCAAGGCCCTATATGAAAAGCCCACAGGTACTATATTTAATGGTGAAAGTCTGAAGCTTTTCCACTAAGATCAGGAAGAAGACAAGGAGCCGGCTTACATCACTTGTACTCAACATAGTCCTGAAAGTTGTAGCCACAGTAATTAGACAAGAAAAAGAAATTTATAAAACATCCAAATTGGAAAGGAAGAAGTAAGACTATTTATGCTCAGAGATGACTTACACTTATCGAAAGATTTTTGAAAAACGGAGTTAATAAGTGAATTTAGCAAATTTACAGGATTCCGTTTTTAATTTCACATTAAAAATCAAATCTGATTTTAACACTCAAAAATAAGTTGTGCTTCTATACATTAGTAGTAGATAATCAAAAAGAAAATTAAGAAAACAATTCCATTTACAATAGCATCAAAAAGAATAAAATACTTAGGGTTAAATTTAACCAAGGAGGCAAAAGATGTGTACATTGAAAATTATAAAACATTGCTGAAAGAAATGAAAAAAAAAAATGTAAAGACATCCCATGTTCATGGATTGAAAGACTTAATATTATTAAGATGTTTTTTGTTTTGGTTTGTTTTGTTTTTTTGCAGAAATGATAAAACCAAGCCTAAAATTCCCATAGAAAGTCAAAGGACTCCAAATAGCCAAAATAGTCTTGAAAGATAAGAACAAAGTTTTAGGATTCACACTTTCCCATTTCAAAACTACTACAAGGCTATGGTAATCAAAAAAATATAGGACTGTTAAGGATAGACAAATAGACCAATAGAATAGAATTAAAAACCCCTAAATAAACCCTTACATCTATGATTAATTGATTTTAAACAAGGATGCCAAGACCATTCAATGAGGAAAGAACAATCTTTTCAACAAATGGTGCTGGGAAAACTGGGTATCCACATGCAAAAGAATAAAACTGGAACTCAACTAATACCACATACAAACTTAACTCAAGATGAATCAAACCCCTCAATTTAAGAGCTAAAACTAGGAAATTCTTAAAAGAAAAGATAAAAACAAATCTTTATGACATTGTATTTTGCAATGGTTTCTTAAATGATAACAAAATGGTTTCATAAATGATAACAAAAGCACAAGCACACACACACAAACACACACACACAGAAAAAAAAAGAGAAAATAAGAGTGTTGGTGAGGATGTGGACAAACTGGAATCCTTATACATTGCTAAGTAGAAATGTAAAATGGATCAGCCACTGTAGAAGCAGTTTGGTAGCTCACTCCTGGGTATATATATTCAAAAGAATTGAAAACAGGTACTCAAACAGATACTTGTACACCAATATTCATAGCATTTTACACAAACAAAAGGTGGAAATAACCCAAGCATTCATCAACAGATGTATAAACAAAATGTAATATATACATAAGTGGAATATTATTCAGTCATGAAAAGAAATAAGTTTCTGATACATTCTACAACATGAATGAACCTTAGAAACATTATGCTAGATTGGTACAGCCACTATGGAAAACAGTATGGCGTTTCCTCAAAAAATTAAAAAATGGAACTGCTATTTGACTCAGCAATCCCACTTCTGGGAATATATCCTAAAACCCCCAAAACACCTATGAAAAATAATACATGCATCCCTATGTTCATAGTAGCATTATTTACAATAGCTAAGATTTGGAAACAGCCCAAGTGCCCATCAGTAGATGAATGGATAAAAAAGCTGTGGGACATCTACACAATGGAATACTATGTAACTGTGAAAAAGAGGGATTTCTTACCCTTTGGGACAGCATGGATGGACCTGGAGAGTATTATGCTAAGTGAAATAAACCAATCTGAGAAAGACAACTATCACATGATCTCACTTATTTGTGGAATCTAATGAACAAAACTGATTAATAAAATAAGCCCCTAAGCATGGAGGCAGAGAACAGACTGACATACCTCAATGTGGGGGTGAGGTAATGAGGAGAGATAAACTAAAGAACTTATATACTTACTAGAGGCCCAGTGCACACATTCGTGCACTCGGCGGGGGCGGGTCCCTCAGCCCATCCTGTACCCTTTCGCAGTCTGGGAGCCCTTGGGGGATGTCCAACTGATGGCTTAGGCCTGGCTGTTGGACTTCCTTAGTACTGCCGCGGAGGCAGGAGAGGCTCCCGCCACTGCCACCGTGCTTGCCAGCCATCAGCCCGGTTTCTGGCTGAGAGGTGCTACCCCTGTGGGAGTGCACTGGCCACCAGGGGGCAGCTCCTGCATTAAGTATCTGCCCCCTGGTGGTCAGTGCACATCATAGTGACTGGTCATTCTGCCGTTGAGTCTATTTGCACATTACCCTTTTATTATATAGGATATGCATAGCCCATGGACACAGGCAATAGGGTAGTGAAGACCTGGGAGTGGGGTAGGGGCTGGGCGGGGGCAGGGAAAGGCAGAAGAAATGGGAGACATCTGTAATACTGTCAACAATAAAAAATAAAAATGAAACTATATCTGGTCTCAGCAGACAGCTTCCTGCATAAAACAAAAACATCCTGCTAAGTGAAATAAGCCAAACACAAAGACAACTGTATGTATCTACTTATATGAAATCTCTAAAACAGAAAAATTCACAGGCACAGAAAGTAGATTAGAGTTTACCAGGAGCTGAGGGAAGGAGGACCGGAAAGTTATTGCTTAATGGGTACAAGTTTTAATTTGGGATGATGAAAAAGATTTGGAAGAGACAGTAGTAATGGTTGTGCAATATTGTGAATGCAATTAATGACACTGAATAATGTATTTAAAATGGTTAAAGTGGCAAATTTTACATGTTATGTATATATTTTATAACAAAAATAGCAACAACAAAGGAAAACTCGGGTCCAGGAAACAAGTGATCAAACACTAGAAAACAAAAAAGAATCCACAGGAAGACAGAGAAGTGCCATGACAAGAGCAGGAACAGTCCAGGAAGAAAAGGTAGCACTCCCAAAGTGGCAGGTTAGGAAAAAATGGGCCTGAGAAACCATCTCAGGGGACTCTATTGAACTGACACCAGCTTGAGAATCAGCCTTAAGATTAAGTACAGCATATTAGTGTTTCTTGCATATCGTTCTTACTCATATCAACTTTAGTCAACATTTTATTTTCTTTGTTCAGCACTATTTCAAAAACCATGGAGGACACAAGAGGCACAGTTCTCCACACATGCAGTTAGGTAGTGATCATGGGATGAAAATACTCAAAACATCTAGGCTTCACTAACAGGATTGAGTCCTTTATTCTTAGTGTCATGCATTCAAAAGGGAAAACGAAAACAAAGTGAAATATTGTATCTATCACCTAAAGAAAATGAGAAACATTCTTAAAGTACTACCTTACAATATTTCTTACTTTACATTATTGTGTAAAACGCTCTAGTAATTAAAAGCAGTGCCCAACAACAGGCACATTTACTCTAACTTTTTACACTATAGAAAGTTATCATCAAGTAATATAATGCTATGAAAGTTCAAAAGAGACTATAAAACTTACCTGTTTAGACATATTTTCTGAAAATTTTGCTGATTTTTCTTTTAAACATGTGACAAGGTCTTTATAAATCACTCCTTTTCTCTCATAGTTAATTTCCTCATCATCTGTTTTGCCCTGTGGGAGAAAAAGTTGGTGCTATTATTTAATATAATAGCAATATAAGAAACTGATCAATACATCACAACCCAAGTACACATTTTTTTTCTTCTCTAAAGGATCCATACAGTAGTCTTTATATATGAAATGTAAAGGCAAAACCCTTCCCTCTTAAAGTACTGTTACCTATTCACTCATTCTTTCAGCAAGCCTTTACTGCGTACCTCCTATATGCAGCAGGCCCTCTGCTATTCAGCAAGGGAGTGAGAACCTCCTTCCCTCTAGGCTCCTCTAAAGAGAAATACATTATGACTTCAAGAGCCTTTGAGGTCATAAAAGGCCTCAAGATTAGAATGCCACCACAGGAAAGCCTGTGTTTCTATTTGTCACACTGCTCTCTTGTTCTGTGTCGCATGGTTGCTCTAGGCTTATTTTCTAGGGTTATGTCTCTATGCAACCATCTGTCTGTCCTTCCACCCTCTGCCTCTGTCTCTCTTCTTATCTTTTTTTCCCCTCATCCCTCTCTTCTTTCCTGCCCCCATTATTCTCCCTTAACCAAATATATATGTAACTGTAGTGAATTATACATTTTGTTGTAATTACTGAATAGTTTCATGTTCCTTGTGTTTCATTTTTAAACTAAGGAAAATACTTAGATGTTTCCATATCAAATAAACTGGTCTGTGAATAAGAAGCAAAGGCTCCTCATCCCACTCAGGAAAGTCAACACAAATAATTCCTTTTTTAATTTCTTATTTTTTAATTGGAAATTTCACTTTTCTAAAGTAGCAAAACAAAACAAAAGCAAAATTATATTTAGGTCATCTCCCTCTTCTACTGCAGAAATAAGCTAACTGTCATGCTGATAAGAAAAGCACCTCGTGCTCGCTTCGGCAGCACATATACTAAAATTGGAACGATACAGAGAAGATTAGCATGGCCCCTGCGCAAGGATGACATGCAAATTCGTGAAGCGTTCCATATTTAAAAAAAAAAAGGAAAAAAAAGAAAAAAAAAAAAGAAAAGCACCTAAGGCATGTCAGGAAAGGCGCTACAAGTAATCAAGAACACAGCACCAGTAACTGGACACCAACCCAAGCCCAGGTGTGACAACCCTCTAAGCAGTCCCCTGTAATAGCTGGGGCCCCACTAGGGATTTGGGTCCTCCCTGGAGAATTTCCTGGTGGTGACAGGGGCAGAAATAAAATATTGGGAACCAGCTATAATTGTAAGAAATATTAACCATGCTCTGTTAACCGTGATTGTTTTGTTCTGATTAAAGAAAGTACCGGGGACCTGGGAGCTCAACTGGAAATGTAGCCCATACTCCCCAATTGGAGCTGCCTATTATCATGGGAAGATTAACAACTTTGTTGCAGAAACCAGCCCTTTGAAGACTGCCTCCCCCCCAGTCCCTTTGCATATCTGTAAACTGCCCATTTGCCCTTTTTGCCTACTTCCCCATGTAATCTTTGTCCTTCTACCCAATATAAGCTGGTTTATGGTAGGGTGCAGAGCAGATTTTTGTGGATGACCTGCTGCTCTCCTATAATACCAGCAGTATTGGAATAAATGCTCATATGATTTAACCCTGTCTCTGCTTAATCGGCTCAAGTAGAAACAGGCAGCACGGACCCATTGATTGTCCGGTTATAGTGAGACCCAAAACTACTTTGAAGACACTGAGGGCAGGGTGTTGCAGAGAAGAAAGCTGAGCTCCTTCTAGCTAAATTCAGTGAACAGATATGAGACTCGAAAGTTTTTTAGTCTAGAAAACTCAGAAGGCTATGTGCTGTTTCGCTCTCAGCTCAAAGCTCACCTATCCACACTCTGCTGTGTGATACTCGGGCTGGGAATCTGCAAAACTGTGTTTCACCTTTGCCAGGCAGGTTAGCTTCAGTCAACAGGAAGTGAGAGAAGAGACATGCTCCCTTCTACTTGTCGCCTGCTCCTGTTAGTCACCCCGGCAACGGTCCCACGCCCCTGGCAGTGGCAGTTGCTTCCAGTAACAACAGTTGGTTCTAATTTCCAGAAGTATTTCTCCCTGTAGTCCCAGAACAAGGCTCTTCACACCCTCCCCCTGAGAAATACTATCAGCCTACCAGGGCACCATCTTCAAAGGTTTGAGTCTCTGCTCTGACAAGATCCTCTGAGCTCCTGAGGGACCAGCACTAACTGGGCAGCACTCACTCCTCAGACGACTGGGTCCCAGTGTCATGGAGGCCACCTGAGCTCCGGGGGAACTAGCACAGCCTAGAAGTGACCAATCCTCAGAGGTGTAAGTCCAAGTTTTGTGGGGAACCCTCCTCTGAGCTCCTAAGGGACCTTCACCCAGGCAAGCAGGGTCTACTCTCCAGGAGTCTAAGCCTCAGCCCTGCAAGCGTCCTCCTCTGAGACCCTAAGGTACTAGCACAGCCTGGCAGCAGCCCCTCCCCAGGCATCAGGGTCCTAGCTGCATGGGGCACCTCCAGGCATCCACATTTTGACAATCCCTCCTCCTCTTCCCTTTATCCCTCAACTCTGAGGGCAGAAGCTGCAGTTATTGCTTCTGTGTTATCTCAGTGCTCTTTTTTTGACTTTTCTTTCCTTTACTACTTGTGATTATGTTAAAGAGGTTTTTCTTTTATGGAGTGGAATGAGTCTGTTGGAAGCCATTTCTTAGAAGACTGGCCTGCAATGGGGACACTGGGGCTAATTCTGAGACAGCAAACACACACAGCAAAAGGATCTGCTGGAATCCCACAGAACAGCATTTCATTTTCTATGCTCACTGGGGTTCAACCCTAGAGACATGTCTGCACTTCAAGACACCAACCTAAGCACCAATGTCAATTCTGTTTTTAAAAAATTACTTACACCATTTAAAAACACTCCTTCTTCACTACAAGTAATGCACAAAGTTTCAACATCATGTGGTTTCACCAGCACATAACAAATTTCCCCCAGAATCTGCCTCCAAGGTGGGGCTCGACATCCATTTGAATATTCATAATCTGAAACCAATTATCAATCAGCTTAGAGTTTTGTAAAATATGTTGGCTCAGAAATAAATATTATTAAATTGTTTTCATTTTCTTAAATATTAAATTCCAATGCAGCTATTGAAGCATTTTGAATGATAATTATGAAAACATATATAACATAAATGAATCTGAGATGTAAACCTGAGGTATATTTGATAGATTCCAAGATTGTTTGTTCTCCTTTTCCCGAGAAATGTTTGAGCAGTTCTATCTCGTTCTTAACTGCGGCTGGATTTAAAGGTATTTCTCTGAAATAAATGTTTAGATGTTCATTTAAAATATTTTATAACAGATTGTATAAAATATACATGAAGACATTCCATTATGTCAAGGGAAATATTTTTTATAATTAAAATTGGAGGTAATTATAAAACAATAACAAAATTGCAATAAATTTTAGCCATGTTATAATGTCATAACACTGTCAAATCATCAAGGAATTACTGAACAACATTAAATATACTCACTTAAATATTCATTTTATTTCTTAATGACAATACTAAAATACTAGAAAGCACTAGAAAAATGAACAAGTTTTAAACCTGAAAACTCTACATAATATTTACCTTATAATTTAATAATTTATCTGAGTCTTATTAAGAGACTCCAAATATTCTAAGGCCACTTAATGTCTTCAGAATTAGATGAAACCCCACTAGAATGTTTAGCACTGTTAAGAGCAAATTTTAATTTTTAGAACTAGAAATATCCATGTGATAAACTAAAATTTTATTCCAATACAATTGAATGTTAAATCAATAGCAATAATTCCCATACTTTATTTTTCCCTAAAACTCTGAAAGCACTTTTTGCACTAATGTTCAGAGTTTTATCTTTTAAAATACTCACAATGAAATATGTTTTAGAGAATGATTGAGGAGGTGTACATCCAGTTGCTTAAGTAGCATGGCAATCTTCATCTTAATCTCACTTTCAGTATCATTGTCTTTGGTTAATTTATCAAGAATATTTAATACAGATGAGTCTTCTTTCATTGTATTATAATCTAAGCCCAGGATTTTTGCTACCGGATTTCTGTTAGCTGACCAAAGTAAATTAATAAAAATTATTCTCTTATCTTCTACTAGAGGCCCAGTGCACAAAAATTTGTGCATTCGTGGTGGTCCCTCAGCCCGGCCTGTGCCCTCTCGCAGTCTGGGACCCCCCGCTTCCTGGGGGATCGGGCCTAAGCTGGCAGTCAGACATCCCTCTGGCAGCCCGGGAGCCCTCGGGTGATGTCCACTTGCCAGCGGGGAGCAGGCCTAAGCTGCAGTCGGACATCCTTAGCGCTGCTGAGGTGGCGGGAGAGGCTCCCACCACCACCGCTGTACTGGCAGCCATCAGCCTGGCTTGTGGCTGAGCAGAGCTCCCCATGTGGGAGCACACTGACCACCAGGGAGCAGTTCCTGCATTGAGCGTCTGCCCCATGGTGGTCAGTGTGTGTCATAGTGACCAGTTATTCCCAGTCGTTCTGCTGTTAGGGTCAATTTGCATATTACCCTTTTATTATATAGGACAGAGGCCAGGTGCATGGGTGGGGGCCAGCTGGTTTTCCCTGCAGGGTGTCCTGGATCAGGGTGGGGGTCCTGCTGAGGTGCCTGGCAAGCCTGGGTGAGGGGCTGAGGGCCGTTTTCAGGCTGACCACACCCCCTCAGGGTGGGGGTCCCCGCTGGGGTGCCTGGCCAGCCTGGGTGAGGGGCTGATGGCTGTCTGTAGGCTGGCCAAGCCCCCCAGTGGGGACCCTCAACCCATGGGGGTGTGGCCAGCCTGGGTGAGGGGCTGAGGGCTGTTTTCAGGCTGGCCACACCCCTTTCAGGGTGGAGGTCCCCACTGGGGTGCCTGGCCATCCTGGGTGAGGGGCTGAGGGCCATTTTCAGGCTGGCCACACCCCCTTCAGGGTGGGAGTCCCCACTGGGGTGCCTGGTCAGCCTGGGTGAGGGGCTGATGGCTGTTTGCAGGCTGGCCACAGCCCCTTCAGGGTGGGGGGGGGGTCCTGATGGGGTGCCTGGCCAGACTGGGTGAGGGGCTAAGGGCCATTTTCAGGCTGGCCATGCACCCCCGGTGACCCAACTCCCAGCCTGTCCTTTTTTTCTTTTTTTTTTCAACAGGTATCTGGGATTTATTATCTTCAATAATTGAAACTTTGTAGCCTTGAGCAGAGCCCAGGTCTGGCCAGGGCAGGCAGGAAGCTTGGCTTCCTCCCATCGCCAGGGGCAACCCAAGCCTCCTGCTTGCTCCAACTCCTTGGCCGCCACCATCTTTGTGACAGACTGATGGTTAATTTGCATATTACTCTTTTATTAGATGGGAATAATAAGAAACATAAAGTCAAACAAATCCATTGAAGCCCACTCAACTGTATTTCTTTCATTATGCTTTCTCTAATCAACTCAATTAGAATCAATGTCCACTTCTCAGATATACTGAATTTAGGAACTTTCTTATACCCTTTGAGATGTCTATCTTTATAGTAATATCACCAGTATATGTCATCTCCCTAATAGGACAAAGAACAAGACATTCCTTTCTTTTTTTTAGTTGACCATGAGGCATTCAATTAATATATTCAGAATTGATTTGTAGAGAAATACTGTTCTCCTTAGAAGAATCATCACTAGAACTATGTGTGTACCAGTGCTCAGTATTCACAAATGCATGCTTCTTTTCAAAATTGCATGCTTCCCTTAGTCTACAGGTCTTCTAACAGTCTTTTCCACCTGTTCAAACT